AGCGGTTCAAAGCCAGAGATCTGAGGGCCATGTTTCTGAAATTCTTATGAGCCAGGGGTTAATATTTCATCTCTTCCAGCAGCTCGTCTACAAGAAGAAAACCAGAGAGTATTTTTGATTCCAATGTAACACAAGATCTTTTCACAGCAGCTTCTACCTAACTAGCTGACGTCATGCTTACACATCTGACCTGGAGCTGGCCTCCAGTAAAACACCGTAACTATGTTTTCATGCTGCCTTGTTTCATTCTGCATTACACAACAGGGTGCATGCAACCTGAGCCTGGGAAGGTGAGGAGGTTTACCTCTCGAACCGTTCTCACTCTGTGCACAGCTACCAGGGCTAAGAGGCTTCCTTTCTGCCCAGAAGGGTGAGAGTCTGCGTTAAATTGTGGGAACGAGGCATGGAGAGCACAAGGAGCTACACGACAGCAAAGAAGAAGGGCAGCATAAAGCTCAAGAAGCATAAAGCTGGAAGATTCGGTTAGTCTGGAAGCAAAAACCCACTACAATTGCACATCCCCACCTTCATGTCTATAGCCTTTCCCCCCCTCCACAATCAGCTGGTCACAGACCAAAGCAGCAACCACACCTGGTGGCTCAGCTTCTGGGGCACCCAGAGTTATTAGAGGCTTGCTCCTGGGGGAGCCCACTGCAGGAAAGTTGCATGGGCCCAAAAGGGCCCAGAAAAAAGACATGTTTCAGATGATCAAGGAGGATGAAGACATTTGTATTATATTCAAGACAAGACCTTTAGCTGCCCAGGAAACCAGCGGTTTTTCCCCATATCGTAGAAATAAATATCGTTGAAGAAGTCCCCTTCAATGCTCTCTTCCTCTTCCTCATCATGCACACCTCCAAACAGAAGGGAGCGGTTACTAGGACTGATCGCCACAGAGAAGCCGGACCTGGGAGCAGGTTTCACTCCAGAGGGGTTTAGCCGACTCCATGCCCACTTGTCCGCTGTAGGATAAAAGTAAACGTGAGCATCAGCAAAGAGGAACCTTGATCATTTTCAAATCTTGCAGGGCCCTTCAGTTCTCCAGTAATCTTTCCAAGTATCTCAGCAACCCATTTTTGACACTCTCGGAACTGCACAGCGCACCTTCAACAATAACATTAATCAGAATCACTTGCATTTCCACTTCAAGCACTCAGCTAACCTGTACATCCCTCTCTCCCTGTAGAAACCAGCTGTGTCTTCAATAAAGCAAACGCAGAGAGCTATCTCCAGGGAGTGCTTTCTGGAGGAAGGCAATGGGTCTCTTAAAAGGTGTACGCGCCTTTATAGGAGGGTGGAGTTCACAACGGGACTGATTATAGCCTTAGAGTACTAAGGAAAGTTACCTCAGGCACACCTATGGGGCCCACCCCACACCAATTCTCTCCACAGGTCCCTTCTACTAGAAGCATCTGGTCTGCCAGGCTGCACCACTGCCTTAATGGCAAGAATAAGTGCAAAGCCAATTGTAAGGAGGCCCAACCACACTCAAAAGGAGTACTCAACAGCGGGAGAAGGCTTGTGCCCAAAGCCCTCTGCTTTTGCTCCAGTCCCTTCTACTGTGGATTTATGGTAAATCCCTTAAACGCAGTCTGGGAGAAGCATATACATCGGCTAGGAACTGCACGCTTCTGAAGAAAACATAATTTCAACAAAATAAACTATAAATAGGACATAACGCAAGTAGTCGCTGGAATCCAGGCAATATAAGTGACCAACCCTCCTCCTCAAATCCCTCTTCAATACTATCAGGCTTGAAGACATCAGTCACAATTTTGACATTTTAGAAATTGAGCTCAAAGAAGATTGCGTCATTCCCTGAGCCAAGAATACAACTCCCTCTTAAGGAAAGAGATGGAATTCCTATTTCTGGGGATAATCACACATGGGGAAAAACAAACAAACAAATATTGATAATATCTCTGCATTAGGTAATCTCATGAGATCACTTCCCAGTCTTGTCTCTTAGAGTCTATAAACGAATGATCGCTACCAAACAGAGTTTGTCAGGAATAGGAATTTCCACAGTGTGGGAAATTCTGCAATACTAAAGATTTCGTGTTGTGAAATAGAAGAGCAACCACCAAAATTTCCCAGAGAAGAGGAATTTTAAAATGTTGTTTTAATTCTCTCCCACACGCACCAAAAACCCCCTAAATAACACTTCCTGTAGTTTTCCTGAAACTGCCTGTGCAGTTACGCAAGGAGCGTGGAGATCCTCAACTCCATCTCAGTCTATCCCAGGACCAACTGGGAAGCATCAACATGGACGACGTTGCGAGGTAGGAGCGATTCTCCAACAAAAAGTTTACCCCGACCTTCCTCCAGCAGCACCGCCAGTTCCTCTCAGAAGTTTCTCCGCCAGCTCCATTCCCCTAGCTGTTTCAGTGTCAGAGCCACCATTTACATCAGCTCTGAAATCAAGCCCCGTGGAGCTGAAAACCATGACTCCCTACAGGCTTCAGCTAACCAGCAAGCTTTACCCAGCAAGGGGGACGCAGCCTCAATCTTTTCAGGACTGCAAGTCTTTCAGGACTTCTTCAGGGAGAAGAGGACAGAACAGTTGTGGGGCCTACTGTCTACTGCAGACAAAAGCACCTTTTCCCCCACCGTTTCCTCTTACGGAGCACAGTGGTGAACACACATTCTGCCCACATATGTGGTGGGGAAAGGCCTGTTTTCCTTCTCTAGCACACCTAACCAAAAAAGAAAACAAAATTCCTCTAATATACCTCTGCAACTGCCGTTTCCTTCACCCTAGCCCCCCTTTCTAAATTAGGGTCCCGGTGCACAAGTGCACTTTATTCTTGGGGAAGAAGAAATATTTAAATCAACTCATGTGATATGCTTAGCCCCAAAGCAAACTCCAGGACATAGTGCTTTTCACTACTAGGGAAGTCTTGTTCTGAGTTTTGGGTTTTTTGGTCTGTTATCCAAAGGGGAGAGGGAACTTCTATTCACAGTCCTGCAGCATCACCTCCAGCACAGCTCTCCTAGCTCCGATTGTAGTAGCCTACCTTCCTCTTTGCCTGAACCTTCAGTCTTCAGTAGGAACATATCTGTATGCAGCGTGCCCTTGTCAACGTCTTTCTTAATTCTCTGCAGAGAAGGCAAAAAAGGGGATGCTCAGTGAAACAGCTCCAATGGATTAAAATATAGGGGGCCTGGCCCCTTCAGGGCTTGGAAAGTCACCCACACCAGAACGGTGGTATGTGCCATTCTTAACTCCACAGATTAGCCTCATCACAGTCTGAATCCGTACGTTCCCATGCTGAAAAAGCCAGCACTGCAACTGCCTCCTGGGGGCAAGGAGACAGCATATAGATCGCTACGCTGCTGTTCTGGAGCATCAGGCAGCTCTCAATCACAGCGTTCAAACCAGGGCTACATCCTGTGCTGAGTGGCAGTACAGGAGTTATTGAGCAATGTGAATGCCCAGGAGGGAAGTGAACGAGCCAGAATGGACAGAGGCTGCTGTCTCATGACCTTCAAGCACGCCTGGCTCAGTCCCATCCTACAAGAGAGCAGTGGGAAAGGCATAACAAGCCACAATTAACTTCTGCCTGTGATACTCCAGAGCCTCCCTCTACTCAGTGCTTGCAACATATACCCTGGGACTTGGAGCCAAATGAAAACTGCAGGATGCAGTTTAAGGACAGGAATTTTGGCATCCAGGGAAGAGAAGAAAATTGTCACAGGGAACAAAACCGATTTTTTAGAGAAGGAAGGAAGGACGGACGGGTAGCACCAAGGAAAGAGGAGACCCAAGTTTCTGCCTTTTACTCTGCCACAGAGAGTATCAGGTGCTCCCAAGGGAGACATTTAACATCCGTGCCTTAACTCCTCTAGCTGTAAAGAGAGCAGATACCTGCTTCACAGAAGTGGCACACAATAACTTTCCATAGGGCTTGCAAGGCCCTCTAGGATTCTACCCTTGAGCGCCGAGCAGAAGCTCAGAGCATCTGCGCTGTATCACTTGGAGGGCCCAAGCTGAGTTACAGATCTGTGTTTAGCACACACTCTT